TTGTACCTGGTTCACATACAGGCATGCAGCCAAAGCACTCCTATCCATAAAGTAAAGTAAGTAACTCTAAAAACATTTAGAAGAAATATGAAATGCAGAGGCATAGCTCAGGGACAGAATGCTCACCGGACATGCAGGGGCCCTGGGCTCAGCCTTGCGCTATTACTAACGTGCTACAGACGCTCTAGTTCACATACCAACGTGCTACAGACACTCTAATTACATACTAACGTGCTACAGACACTCTAGTTACATAGAACTGAAGGGCAAGTAAGATCCAGACGCACATGCCAGTCCACACATGAAAATTCTCCCCATTCTCATAGTTACTTTTTGGGTTCTATTTAAACATTTCATAATAATAACTTCCATTATACAGAAATAATCCTAACAAATATATTAAATATTCAACCATATTGGAAGGCTATTACACATGCTCTTTGTTGTATGGGTTTTTTGTTTGTTTGTTTGTTTTATAGGTTTTATACAAGTATTTTAGCTTATATGTTATAAGCAAAGTGTGAAACTGAGCACAATATTTGTCTCATTATTTAACTAACTTACAAGCTAGCAGATTTCCCGAAAGCATTTCCATTGGCTCCCCCACCTCTTCCTCTAGCCTATGTCCTGACTTCCCACTGCATACCTCTGTAAACACGCCCCCCTTCATGTATCTCCCCATCCACTTCATATTCAAGTAGAATGAGGAAGAAAAGACCATTCCAATATTTACTAAAAGCATGGCTAGTGCTGCTATCTGCCACTCATGACGTCACCCGCACAGCTGGGATCATGGGCTGCAGCCCATCACTGACCGTCCCTGCAGTGTCTATAAAATCTTACAGCAAGTATGAAATGAAGACACAAACTGGACCTGCGATGAAAGTCTTCCAGAAGCTTTCTGGATTCAGCCCACCAGTGGCATCTCCTGTCTTCCACAGTGCTTATTACAGAGAGATCCCCACAATATTACAGGTGTGCTGTCACCATTCCCCACCGCTCTCTGAATCAGCACATTAAGAAGGGTCAGTGGGGCCTTCATTAAAAGACGTAGGATTGGGGAAGACAGAGCAATTTCTTTCTTTGTACTTTGTTTTCATCTGCATTATTTCCTTCTGCTGTTACCATGAGTGCGTGCCATATAGCGTCATTTTAAACACCATGTGATTCCTTTTTCACTAACCTCCAAAGCGCTCTTGTAGTCACCCAGGTGAAAAGCACAGTATCCAATCCACAAATTAGTATCCTCTTCTTGCTCCCCAACATGGCACTTGAACTTCTCATTAAAGGTAATGAAAAAAACATGAAAAAAGATTTTAATTGTAAATATTTTTAATCATTTATTTACTTTTAAGTGCATTGGTGTTTTGTCTGCATGTATGTCTGTGTGAGTGCCAGATCTTGGAGTTACAGAAATCTGTCATTAGCTGTCTTGTAGATGCTAGGATTTGAACCCACTCCTCTGGAAGAGCAGCCCATGATCTTAACCGATAATCACTAAGCCATCTCTCCAGCTCTGTTATTTGTTTTATTTTTTTAAGCTATGCTGAGTGACTGATAAATTTCTGAATAATAGAAGTCAAACAATGTGCAGTTCAATGAAGCCTCCACTGACAGGAGTCAGCAGTCACCTAATGTCACATGCTGGATTTGTTTTTCTGTGTTTGCTAGCACCTTATTCCACAAAGTATGTGAGTTATTTAGTAACTCTGGATGATGTGCAAGAATTATGTAAAACATTTGAAGCCAGTCATGTGGTGGTGGCGCACACCTTTAATCCCAGCACTTGGGAGGCAGAGGCAGGAGGATCTCTGTGAGTTCGAGACCAGCCTGATCTACAGAGATAGTTCCACGACAGCCAGGGCTACACAGAGAGACCCTGTCTCAAAAACAAAAAATATTTAAAGCTAAATGACGGAAGGGTAGGGGCCACGCAATGGTTCTGAGATCACACGGTCAGTCCCTGTCGCTGTCGGAATAGGGATTAAAGTCACGTCTGCCTCCAAAGTCTAGGATCCCACCACTGGGTTTTGCTGCATTTAATATTACACTTAACTTTTATCCCGTTACCACACATGCATATTAATAGTTCATTACCCTCCTCTGAAGACATTCATTCTATTATCCCATGAGGCTAGCTTAAAGACTAACTGAGTTAAAGGTGTACAGAAGATAGTCTAGTTTGTGTCCACTACAAAAACTTAGGAATTCCTCGCCTGACAAAAGATAAGTTTTACTTGCGAGGAAGGATTGAGAAGGATTCTCAATTACCACTCATTCTAGTTTCATTTCCACTGTTCTGATAAATACCTGAGCAAAACAATTTAGGGAGCTGGGCATAGCGGTACATTCTTAGCTGGTTGACAACCTTAATCCCAGCACTCAGGAGGCAGAAGCAGGTGGAACTCTGTGAATGCAAGACCAGTCTGCTGTGGTGGCATCATGTTCTGCACCCAGCCTGCTCTACTGTTTAGGGCCAGCCTGGTCTACATAGAGACCTTGTCTCAGACAAATAAACCAACATACAGTGCCTCTTTGGTTGAAAAGCAAATTCCTTAGACAGAGGTAATACTGTATAGAATTGTAAGCAGGTCTGCCTTCAGATTTCTGCGCTCCCTTCCCTCAGTATGGACAGTCACTTGGAATTATGAGCTGAAAAAACCCTTTCTCCCTAAGCTTTTTTGTTTTGTATTGTTTTGATTTTGCTTTGTTTTCATCAGCCCAGGTATTTTATTTTATTTTGGTTTTTCAAGACAGGGTTTCTCTGTATTGTTTTGGAGGCTGTCCTGGAACTCGCTCTGTAGACCAGGCTGGCCTCGAACTCACAGAGATTCACCTGCCTCTGCCTCCCGAGTGCTAGGATTAAAGACGTGCGCAACCACCCAAAGAACTCTACCAGGGAACTCTTACAGCTGATTAACACCTTCAGCAAAGTGGCAGGTTACAAGATCAACTCAAGAAAGTCAGTAGCCCTACTATATACAGATGATAAAAGGGCTGAAAGAGAAATCAGAGAAACATCACCCTTTACAATTGCCACAAACAACATAAAATACCTTGGGGTAACGCTAACCAAACAAGTGAAAGACCTGTATCGTAAGAACTTTGAATCTTTAAAGAAAGAAATTAAAGAAGCCCTCAGAAAATGGAAAGATCTCCCATGCTCTTGGATAGGCAGGATCAATGTAGTAAAAACGGCAATCCTGCCAAAAGCAATCTACAGATTCAATGCTATCCCCATTAAAATCCCAGCACAATTCTTCACAGACCTTGAAAGAACAATAATCAATTTTGTATGGAAAAACAAAAGACCCAGGATAGCCAAAACAACCCTGTTCAACAAGGCAACGTCCGGAGGCATCACTATCCCTGACCTCAAGCTCTATTATAGAGCTATAGTCCTGAAAACAGCTTGGTATTGGCACAAAAATAGACAGGTAGACCAATGGAATCAAATTGAAAATCCGGGTATTAACCCACACACGTACGAACATCTGATCTTTGACAAAGAAGCTAAAAATATACAATGGAATAAAGAAAGCATCTTCAACAAATGGTGCTGGCATAATTGGAGACTGGCATGTAGAAGAATGCGGATCGATCCATGTTTATCGCCATGCACAAAACTTAAGTCCAAATGGATCAAAGACCTCAACATAAATCCAGCCACACTGAACCTCTTAGAAGAGAAAGTGGGTGGTACCCTTGAACGAATTGGTACAGGAGACAGCTTCCTGAACATAACACCAGTAGCACAGACAGTGAGATCAACAATTAATAAATGGGACCTACTGAAACTGAGAAGCTTCTGTAAGGCAAAGGACACAGTCAGCAAGACAAAAAGGCAGCCCACAGAATGGGAAAAAATATTCACTAATCCCACATCTGACAGAGGGTTGATCTCCAAAATTTACAAAGAACTCAAGAAGCAAGTCTCCAAAACAGCAAAGGACCCAATTAAGAAGTGGGCTGCAGAACTAAATAGAGAGTTTTCAATAGAGGAGTCTAAAATGGCTGAGAGGCACTTGAGAAAGTGCTCAACATCCTTAGCCATCCGGGAAATGCAAATCAAAGCAACTCTGAGATACCATCTCACTCCTGTCAGAATGGCTAAAATCAAAAACACCAATGACAATTTATGCTGGAGAGGATGCGGTGAAAGGGGGACACTCCTCCATTGCTGGTGGGAGTGCCAACTGGTTCAGCCACTTTGGAAAGCAGTATGGAGATTCCTCAGAAAAATGGGAATAAACCTACCACAAGACCCAGCAACTGCACTCTTAGGCATATATCCAAAAGATGCCCATTCATATAACAAAGATGTCTGTTCCACTATGTTCATAGCAGCTTTATTTGTAATAGCCAGAACTTGGAAGCAACCTAGATGTCCCTCACCCGAAGAGTGGATAGAGAAAATGTGGTACATCTACACAATGGAGTACTATTCAGCAGAAAAAAATAATGGAATCATGAGATTCGCAGGCAAATGGATGACACTAGAAGAAACCATCCTGAGTGAGGTAACCCAGTCACAAAAAGAGAAACATGGCATGTACTCTCTCATATATGGATTTTAGTCATAGATCTGGGGAGTGCCAGCCTACAATCCTATGGCCAGAGAGTCTGGGAAACAGAAACTTCATTTACTGGCTGGTTAAGTACTGAGCTGAACTCAAGAAAGCCAGTATCAGAGAGGGAGGACTGATGATCAAAGGGATTAAGACTGGGCTGGTTGAACCCCCAGAAACAGCTGACCAGACAAAGGTTAACTCTTGAATCCCAGGCATCAGCCTGGGAATCCAGCATGGGACTGATCAAGACCCCCTGAATCTGGGTGTCAGTGAGGAGGCCTAGGTAATCTATTGAGCCTTGGACAGCAGATCAGTACCCATCCCAAGTATACACACGGTCTCTGGACTCCCATAGAACAATGTGAGGTGCACTCTCACCCTGAACTCTTGGGGAAGGGTCTAGGCCCTGCCCTATATGAAATGACAGACTATGGACACCCCCATGGAGGGCCTCACCCTCCCTGGGGGAATGAGGGGATAACGGGGGGGGATGGGGGGAGGGCACGGGAGGAGGGGAGGGAAAGGGAGAGGGACCTCGTACTGACTTGTGAAGCAACCTTGTTTCTTATCTAAATTTAAAATGGAAAAAAATATTAATAAAAAGAAAAAGAAAAGAAAAAAACTATTTCTTAAAAGTTAAAAAAAAAAAAGACGTGCACAACCAACACCCGGCTGGTATTTTATTTTTGATTATGTGTACATGTGCTTTTGCTGCTGCTCTTCTAGAGGACCCGAGTGCAGTTCCCGAAACCCTCATAAGGCAGCACACGACTTCCTGTCACCCTAGCTGCAGGGGGTCCAGTTCTTATGGCACCTGCATCCAGGCCCACATACCCACATGCAGACACAACTCCACACGTCATTTTATGAACCCTTTTCAAAACACAGACACGTAGTCAAGTAGGTGATGCACACCTTTAATTCCAGTATTTGGGAGGCAGAGGCAGGTGGATTTCTGAGTTTGAGACCAGCCTGTCTTAAAAAACAATAGAAATGTATATGATATTCAGTCCTCTGATTTTCACTGCTAGAAGTCAACTCTCCTACTGCAAGAGATGAGTTGACACAGCAAAGCCAAACAATTGGACTCAATATCAAAGCACTAGCGAGACACTCAGGATTGGGGGGGGGCATGGAATACTGAGAAACATACATAAAGCTAATCAAAGCAACTATTATCGCCAGTTTCAGAGATGTGTAACTATAGATTTGCATTAAAGGGCGAGTGGAAAACGCAATACTGTAACAGGCTGCAGCACAGCACAACCAGACCGTGCTGTCGGGGCTCTATTCTCTGGGGCACCCTTCACAACCCCTCCCATCCGCTTTTCACGCCAGATTCCCCAAGCCCAGTCTCCCAGGGCAGCTCCTGCCAGAAGCACTCCTGACACCACCCACCCGAAATGCGCCCGCCCTCCCGAACGCCACAGCAGACCTAGGGAATTCACATAGGTAAACCACCAGCCTGGGAATACAAACATCTGAGCGTCTATCCTGGCACTCCAATAGTAAGAGGTGAGCTCTACACGCTGCGGCTGAGCTGGGGTGTAGATCTGCGGCATAATTGCTTCCTTGAGGCCCTGAGTTTGACCCCTAGCATTGGTTGTAGAAAGAGATGACCCTGACACGCAGAGCTGAAAAGCTCTACGGGTTTACAACATTTTAAAAATAAACACGGTACAATCACTTAATTTTTCAAGCAAAATACCATAAATAGAAAGAAGTTATAAATCACTCAGGAATTATGACAATGTGTGAACTGACATTTATCATGTGTAATGCTGTATTTTTAGGTTAGATCCACCATCTGTGGGACTAGAAAAAAAAGCTAGTTTTAAGTGTATGAGTGTTTTGTCTTCATCTATCTTTTTGTTTTGTTTTGTTTTTTGAGACAGGGTTTCTCTGTGTAGCTTTGGAGCCTATCCTGGAACTCACTCTGCAGACCAGGCTGGTCTTAAACTCACAGAGATCCACCTGAGTGCTGGGATTAAAGGCATGCACTATAATAATAATAATAATAATAATAATAATAATAATAATAATAAGGCATGCACTACCACCATCTGGCATCTTCATTTATTTCTATGCACCATGTGTGTTCCTGGTGTTGAAGGTGGTCAGAAGACCTTGGACCCCCTGGCACTGGAGTTACTAACGATTGTGAGCAGACATATAGGTGTTGGGAATTGAGATCATTGGGAAGAGCAGCTTTTGTTTGGGTTTGTTTTTTTGTGTTTTGTTTTTTTCAAGACAGGGTTTCTCTGTGTAACAGCTCTGGCCATCCTGCAACTCGCTTTGTAGACCAGGCTAGCCTCGAACTCGCTGAGATCCGCCTGTCTCTGCTTCCCAAGTGCTGGGATTAAAGGCATGTACACCGTCCGGCTGAGCCAGTGCTCTTAACTGTCGAGCCGTCTCTCCAGTCCAAATTTTTAAAATATTTTATCAGGTTTATAGTTAACTTGCAATCTGGAATATGTGTCTGGCTATATTTACACGGATTCCCCAGAATGTACCCATCTATACCAATAGCATAGTAACCAGCATTCACCCCGACATTCACCAGACTTAAAAGGAATCCTTCTTTGGACATTACCTCCAATAGGGTAATGGCGCCGGTGAAATCTCTTTGCGAAAGCAGATCCTCTAGTTTTGGAATTTTCCTACCTTTCTTCTTTCTTTTGTCGGTGTGCGGTGACTCGCCGCCCACGGCGGGTTTGGCCCTTGAAAGCATCTGTAAAACAAACGGCAAAGACGGTTCAACTCAAAAGTCTTTTTTTTTAATCGAGAGTAACAGCTCTGTGATCCACAAGCCAATTCCTTATCAACGAATACTAGTAAGTCTGTTCAGATACTTTTTAAAGACGCATTTTATCAAAAGGGCCATCGCCTCTGAAGGAGAACCAAATAGCTACTTCCAACTACTTGTCCACAAGACACGCACAATTTCCACAGCTCCTACCATCTCATCCTTCCCTGGCTCTTTTTACCAGTCCACAAGCGGATCTGGTGTCGGGAAATGGAGAAGCAGGAGGGAAGGGAGCATCGAGGCATTTTTCTCTGCATCCCTCGCTAGCCCCGGTGGAAACACTGGAGGAATAAGGGGATCGCCCTCTGCAGACACACTTAGGTTCTATCCAGTAGTGTGCTGGGAACTCTAAGCCCGGGGAAAAACCTATCCGAAGCCCCCCATCCCTTAATATTCAGAGCCACTAACCATATTGGCGTCGGTCCTGTGAGCCCCTGCCGCAGATAGTCCGCAAAGGCTGTGCCCGGGCGAGTTGCCACATCCACACAGCGAGCTCCGTCTCCACGGCAACGCCGCCAGGCGGCTGGTCCTCTGGTGACAAGAGCCCGGCAGAGAATCAGAGCCCTCAGCTACGTGGTTCCGTGCGTTTCCGAGGCTGGAAGAAGAGATGTTCCTCTAAATGGAGCAGATCCTCGTTTGTGCTGAGGATGAAAATGTGGTTGTGTCTCTGCTTAGGAATGCCGTTTAGGAAAAGGCGACTTAAAATTACTATTGCAATTTGGAAGTGTATTTCAGATGCAAGTTTCTTGGGACCACTTCCGTCTTGTCTAACTTGAATTCCGCAGTCCCCCGCTGTCTGGCAGTTTTCCCTCTGTTTTCTGCTGATATCCGCTGAACAGACGGATAGTTTGGAGGCAGAAGTGATACAAAAACATTTTCTCAAGACACTGTTATTCCCAAAGATGGGAGGAGAAAGACCACAGATCCAAATCATCTCGGCCAAAATAGTTAGCTCAAGCAATTAATTAAAGCAAGTTTATTCGTGTACACGGGCTATCTCTCCCTAAGGCGGGCTTCCAGAGGTCAGCATTAGATGTGAAGAAGACATATTTTTCATAGAGCTCTGGCCTATGGGTTTCCAAATGGAGGATTTGGCAGGCAAAATAGACGTGGTTACAGAAGCAGAATGTAAGCATAAAAAGTAATAACAGGTTGGTTTTACGTCCTCCTGAAACAGACATGGTTACAAGGTGGGCATAATACCAGGTAGTCATAACAAGGTGATCATATAACATTTTGAAACAAAGGTAGGATTGCAAAACAATTATAAACAACTTTTTGAAACAAAGACATGATTGCCATTCGTGGAACAGGAAGCACAAAACTTTGTAGTTAAGGTTACAAGTGGGGAATAGCCCAATCTTTGAGAAACAGAGGTATACTGACAAATCTACAATCTACTGGAGACTGAGTTTGTCTTTACTATAGGTTAGCAGGTTGGTCCTTCAACACACACACACTTAGAAACTGTAAAACTAGTCGGGCGTTGGTGGTGCACGCCTTTAATCCCAGCACTCGGGAGGCAGAGGCAGGCGGATCTCTGTGAGTTCGAGGCCAGCCAGTTCTACAGAGTGAGTTCCAGGACAGCCTCCAAAACGGATACAGAGAAACCCTGTTTCAAAAACAAACAAACAAGACCTAAATACTTATTAATAATTTGGGTGAAGTAGCATAGTCATAGCTGAATTCCTTTGCATACCACCCTGAACAGCCCTAAAGACTCACGTATAGCATGACTTCTTAGATCCCTTTGCATGGTCCTTTTGATCCAGCCTTACTTTCTGCTCTCACATCTACAACCTATTGGAGACTGAGATTGTTGTGGGAATTCCTTCCTCCAATAGCTTTGGGGGACCGGCCTTAGGGTGTGGCCTTCGGTGCTACTTGAGAACTGAAAAAGCTGGGGTAGGAAGTAAACTCGCACTTGCTCTGGCATAGTCAGCAGGATTTAAAAATGTAATGTATACTTAAGAAATACAGATTAATAGTTATCTATAATAGTCAAACAGGCAGCAGCTGAATAGTGAGCTCCAGGTTCAGGGAAAGACCCTTGTTCCAGAAAATAAGGTAGAGGATGATGGAGGAAAACACCCAACATTCACTTCTTACACACACACACACACACACACACACACACACACACAGACTATGGTTATACAAACCAAGGACTGTGTTGCTCATGATGAAAACTTGTTGAGGTAGCTGTCATTCAGGCTTAAAAACATAGTTATGTTAGTGTGCCCTCAACTGCGCTTACATTGTGTGTACGTTTATTTACTTGTAGCCAAGGGCAGTCTAAACATATGAACCTGATAACCGAGGAAATTGGTAACTCAGGAGTTTTCACATGTTGCACCTTTGTGGCTAGCTTCATGAAACAGTGTTTTGTCCATTCTCATCTGGGAATATGGGTTTATTCCTCTGTCCAGGGTTTCCATGTTGTGTCTGCTACTTCCTCTTTAGTCATTTATTTGCTGTTATGTGTTTGAGTGGTCACTTTGAGTGGTCCTATCAGACATCACATGCCTTATCACAATGTCTCTGTCACTTCTTCTCATCACATAGGCATATAATTTCACCCTCCTGTAAGAAGGAAAAGGGTTGGTTTTGTAAAATAATGTATTTTGACACAGACAGCACATTCACATAAACTTCCCTCTAGAATATTGCTGTGAGTGTCCTATTTCATTGTCAGTTAGTATTATATTACCATGTGTTATATTTGAGGAAATACAGTGTCTATTGGATTTTTTTTAAACTGGAAGTAGAGCATGGTTAGGTTTTTTGTTTTTGTTTTTGTTTTATGAAATAGGGAGAGGTAAACATTAGAAAGAAAATAATACAATATTCCCCTCATCTATCCTTCTATTCCAGCATGAGATCGTGATAACATTTACTTTTTTCTTCCTCAAATGTATATATGAACTATAACAAGTAACTCTTTATGCGTCTCCTAATAAAACACATTTTCTATTTGATTTACTTCTTATTAATTTATAGGGGTAAATTTCTTACCAAATTATAACAAAAGATACAAGATCCTACTGCAAAATAAAATTTTAATGATGATGTAGATAAATGAGGTTCCTAGTGCAGTTGAACTTAGGGCAGTCCATGTGACACTGACTTTGAAGAATTTGAATCCAATACTGGTCTTAGCCTGAAGGAGTTTGCTATATGAGACCAACTGAAGACAAATCCCACGAACTATCTTTATTTCCATCCCAAGTCCCCTCAAGTCCCATTCTTCTACAGGAGGGTTCTCTGATGCATGTGGCCCTTTAACACTTCACTTCCATGGTGGCAGTATTCCTTATCTGTGACTCGTGAATAATTCATTACCAGGATGACATCTGATATGAATGAATCTTCAAGCAACTCTTACTTTCCATTTGCTGTGATTAAACACTTGAGATCTAAACCATGCTGTTCCATAGGAAGCATTAAAAGTTGTGACTCCAAGCACCAAAACAAAGATAGCAAAGATGACGCGCACATTCTCAGAATGAAGTGGAATGCATATGTGGTGTAAACTCCAAGAGTGAGAGAATCGGGCTCCCGAAGGTATTTACTGGTATTGCAGGATCGTACATGCAATTACTTTGATAGCTGATACATATTTATGTCAACACCACATGTATTTCTTCTGTTTTACTGAGCTAGGACATCACTCTGGAGCCCAGGGTGACCTGCAGCTCGCTTTGAATTTCAGGCTCGCCGTGAACTTGGGCAATCACCTTACGTTAGTCAGCCTCTGAGTATTGAGCTTAAGTATGTGAACATCTGTGGCCAACATTGTCTCCCCTTTCCCTCTTCCTCCCCATCTTCTTGTCCTCCATCCTCTGTCTTCCTCCTTCTCTCTTCTCACCTTTCCCTTTTTCCTCTTTAATCCCTCCTGCTCCTCTTTTGATTTTTTGAGACAGTGGTTTCACTCTGTAGACCAAGTTGACCAATTGGCTTTATATTAGTAAGTTGACCTATAAGTTTTTCATTAATTATTTCTTCGTTGTTAGAGAGTTAACCCTGTTCTGGTATGTATGCATATATATATTGTTTAAATTAGAAAAAAGCTTGATTCACATGTCAATCTCAGCTCCCTCTCCCTCCCCTACTCCCTTGCCCCTCCATCAGCTCCCCAGCCCCCCACCCAATCCCCATACCGTTCCCCAGGGATGGTGAGGCCTTCCATGGGGGATCTCCAGAGTCTGTCATTTCATCCAGTGCAGGGCCTAATCCCTTCCCCGTGTATTCAGGCTTAGAGAGCATACCTCCATGTGAAATGGGCTCCCAAAGTCCATTCAAACGCCATGGTAAACACTGATCTACTACTCAAGGCCCCAGAGATTGCTGAGGCCTCCTCATTGACACTGCATTCAGGGGGTCTGGATCAGTCCCATGCTGGCCTCTCAACCATCAGTTGGAGTCCAATAGCTCCCCCTTGTCAGGTCAGCTGCCTCTGTGGATTTCGCCAGCAAGGTCTTGACCCCTTTACTCATCACTCCTCCCTCTCTGTCACTGGGTTTCAGGAGTTCAATTCAGTGTTTAGCTGTGGGTGTCTGCCTCTGCTTCCATCAGTAGCTGGATGAAGGTTTGACTGTGGCATTGTAGGCTGGGACTCCCCTGATCCATATCTAAAATCCATAGATGAGTGAGTACATACCATATTCGTCTTTTTGTGACTGGGTTACCTCACTCAGGATGGTTTCTTGATACAGGAGATTCCTTCCTGAACATAACACCAGTAGCACAGACACTGAGATTGACAAGTAATAAATGGGACCTCCTGAAACTGAGAAGCTTCTGTAAGGCAAAGGACAGTCAACAAGAGCAAAAGGCAGCCCGCAGAATAGGAAAAAATATTCACTAACCCCAGAGGGCTGATCTCCAAAATTTATAAATGACCTAAGAAGCAAGTCTCCAAAACACCAAAAAATCCAATTAAAAAGTGGGGTACAGAACTAAATAGAGAATTCTCTATGGAGTATCCTAAAATGGCTGATAGACACTTGAGAAAGTGCGGAACATCCTTAGCCATTAGAGAAATGCAAATCAAAGCAACTCTGAGATATCATCTTACTCCTTTCAGAATGGCTAAAATCAAAAACGACAAGGACAGTTTATGCTGGAGAGGATGTGGAGAGAGGGGAACACTCCTCCACTGCCGGTGGGAGTGCCAGTTGTACAGCCACTTTGGAAATCAGTACAAAGATTCCTCAGGAAAATGGGACTTAGTCTACCACAAGACCCAGCAATCCCACTCTTAAGGCATATATCCAAAAGATGCACATTCATACAACAAGGACGTCTGTTCCACTATGTGCATAGCAGCATTATTTGTAATAGCCAGATCCTTCATGCAACCTACATGCCCCACAACTGAAGAGTGGATAGAGAATATGTGGTGCATTTACCCAATGGAGTACTACTCAGCAGAAAAAAAAAAACAATGGAACCCTCTACTGGTTTTATAGGCTAAAACTCGAGAACACTTTCATTCTGTCTTTGCCACATTGCTCTAAGTAATATTTTAATAAAATAATGAAGGATACTGAATAGGTAGTGAGAACATCTAAATTCTATTCAATCACATATAAATACTATATTAGAAAAACATAGGCTTATGTATTATTAAACTCAATGTTTACTCATTCTATACCTGAGTAATACTGACTTGTAATATATATGTGGTCGGAGTAGTTTTCAGTTATTTAATTATGTCTGGGTTGGAATTCTCCAATACCATGCAGCTCTTGTTAAGAATTATAAGTTATCCTTCTTGCAAACTGAATTCTTCAGCCATTAAAAAAAAAGGTGGGCCAGGCAGTGTTGGCACAAGGCAGTGTTGGCACATGTCTTTAATCCCAACACTCAGGAGGCAGTTCTTGCTCATAGAAGAATGCTTCCCATATTTATACTTCTAGCTTGGTGCAGATCATAAGTTCACCTGTAGTAAAACCTCTGCTTTCCCATGAGCAAGGAAACCCAATGGCACATTGTACTAGGATGACCCTGCCTCACTCCAGCCAGTTACTTAGATGTTTGAAACTAAAACATAGGTGGGAGAGTTAACCATGGAAATGGTCATGCAAGGAGAGTTATCCTGAGTTTCCTGAGTCAAAGTGTCTTACCAGTTCCCACAAGGACCTGACTTTACTTCCTGTCCAGTTTGGGTTCCAGAAAAGAATGGAAGGCCTTGAGAAGTGCACATATGGAACTATAGCCAAAAGTAAGAAAAACCAAGGTCATAAAGTAATAAAGAATGGGAGTCACTGTTCTTTATCCCACCTGTTTTGGTCATACATTCAGGTAAGATCAACAACAAAAAGGCCATTGCTGTTTGTTCCCCATGTCTCCAAATCTCTTATGTCCAAGCCACTGTTGTTTTCATGTACACACATGTTCATATTCATGCACATGTGCTCACATGTGTGCACCCACCTGCACACATGCACACAGAGGCACACGCATGCTTGCAAACACACACATGCATACACACACGCTCACATGCATGTGAACACACAAGTGCATGCACACACACACACACACACACACACTCCACTGTGACACTCTCCTCCACACAATGTGGGGAAATGTGACACCAACATGCATCCAGAGTTCCAAGGGCCGAAACTAAACAATGATAAAGTTTCTCTTTCTCCCCTCATCTCCTCTCAACTGTCCCCAAAACAGAAAGAAAAGAAATAGAAGAGCAATCCTAAATTTACTATTTCTTACAGAACACCCCAGAACACCAAGGGAGAGACAGAGTAAAAGGAGTAAAACAGGTTTTAATGGGTTTGTTTTCTGTGATCCTGAGAATTGAGCTCTGAGCTCACACCTGCTGGATGGACACTCCACTATGAGCCACACCCTCAGCTTCCACAAATGACAGATTCTTAGGAGGCTATAGTGCACTTAGTATTCATTGGGACTCATAAGCCAGTACCATATCCTCAGTCCTTCTATGCTGGCGACTTGAGCTCTTGGCTTCCTGGGGTCCCTCCAGCACACCTGGCAAAGAGGTGGCCTTTCTAGTTTGTCTACTTCTAAGTGATCCTAACCATCTTCTCTTCCACTTTCTTCAGCAGCCCACTCCATATCATTTCCCAGACTTAACTGTCACCATCCCTCATCTCATTTCCCAGTGCCCACTTTGCCTCCTAGGTACCCAGCTGGCTCTGAGTGAGTGGCTGCAGCTCTTCCACCTGAAATAACCTCTGGGGGGGACATATGCTGAGCACATTGACACAGCGTGTCTGGAACTCTGGGGGTAAAAGCTGTGACTCTGTTTTGTCATTCATGACTTCTCATCTCTGCCGTCTTCTAAACTCACACTTATTTCACAACCAGGTTACCTGGGATCTGCCCTGAGCATTCTCCAGGGGCAATCACAGGGACCTTCTCTTCAGAAATGACATAATTGTTGTGGTCCAGATGGAACAGAGCCTCTCCCTCCTGTGGCAATCCCACCCCGTGCCTGTGTGTTCTAGGATGGGCTCACAACAGGAACTTAATAAAGGACAAGAACCACCTAAAATTCTAGGCAAGCAGTTGGGAACATTTGAATGACACCCATTTTTCTGGGAACGAGGAGCTCTCTGCAAGGACCCACGACATCCCAGTCTGAAGAATTGCTAAGTGAGGCACAAACTTTCTCTCGCACATGGGAACGGGGAAGCCTACCAGTTGAGGATGCTCATTGTGGGCAAATCTGGCTGTGGGAAAAGCGCCACAGGGAACAGCATCCTCTGCCGACAAGCATTCGAGTCCAGACTTGGAGCCCAGTCAGTGACCAGGACCAGCCAGGCAGAGATGGGCACATGGAAGGGAAGGAGTTTCCTAGTGGTAGACACGCCACCCATCTTTGAGTCAAAGGCCCAGAACCAAGAAAGGACATTGGAGACTGCTACCTGCTGTGTGTGCCAGGACCCCATGTACTGTTACTGGTGACCCAGCTGGGACGCTTCACAGCCCAGGACGCCATAGCCCTGAGGAGAGTGAAAGAAATGATTGGGGCAGGAGTCATGAGGCACATGATCGTCCTCTTAACCCACAAGGAAGACCTGGCAAATGAGACCTTGCATGAGTTTGTGACCCACACTGACAACCACAGCCTGAGCAGCCTGGTCCCTTATCCTTTACCACAGCATCTTAAAAACATGGTCAGAAAACCATGACATTCTGCTATGAGGATAAACCACTGTGCAAGTGTCATGGTGGTCATGTCCAGGAACAGTCTTCAGTTCTTATAACTTCATTCTGGTTTCTTTGACTGATTTTTAATGTATTACTTTATCTAAAGTACAAAAAGCAAATGCTTTATGTGAAACGATCAACCTGAGTGGTACCCTGACATCCATCTCCACCTTTAAAATGAAAGCCATTTCCCTCCCATCCAGCACTGTGAATAGAAAAAGGAAAATAATGGGAAAGAAATATGATTAAAACTCTAGGGGATGGGGACATTGGACAGCCTGTCCAGCCAATTGGTGAGCACCAGATTCAGTGAGACTTTGTTTTAATACATACTATAGAGAGACTGGGGAGATGTCTCTTAGTCACACCTGAGGAGTAGAGTTTGTATTCTCAGAACCCACGCCAGAAATGAGTATGAATGGGTTCATCTATAACCCTGGCACTGGAGGGGTGAAGTGGCAGAGAGGCAGGCAAATCCCTGGAGGTCATCTAGATCCCTCTAGCCAATCTAACCCGTTGGCGAGTGCAGTCAACCAAGTGAGATTCTGTGTCCAAAACTCAGGCGAGAGTGATAGAAGAAGACTTGAGATGTCCCCTTGCTCTCCTACAGTGATAGAGGAAGATATGAGATGTCCCTTTGCTCTCCTACAGTGATAGAAGAAGATATGAGATGTCCCCTTGCTCTTCTACAGTGATAGAGGAAGATATGAGATGTCCCTTTGCTCTCCTGCAATGATAGAGGAAGATATGAGATTTTCCTTTGCTCTCCTACAGTGATAGAGGAAGATATGCGATGTCCCCTTGCTCTCCTACAGTGATAGAGGAAGATATGAGATGTCCCTTTGCTCTCCTACAGTGATAGAAGATATGAGATGTCCCCTTGCTCTCCTACAGTGATAGAGGAAGATATGAGATGTCCCTTTGCTCTCCTGCAATGATAGAGGAAGATATGAGATTTTCCTTTGCTCTCCTACAGTGATAGAGGAAGATATGAGATGTCCCCTTGCTCTCCTACAGTGATAGAGGAAGATATGAGATGTCCCTTTGCTCTCCTACAGTGATAGAGGAAGATATGAGATGTCCCTTTGCTCTCCTGCAGTGAGGACCCAAAGCTATGGATTCAGGGCAGTTCTTACACACGGATGGGCTACTGAACCTGACTGGAGGCTGGGGTTCCTTCTGGATGACCGGTAGTGTGGACTTCAAATCACTGATGAGGTCAGTGCTTCATCTTTCTGCGCCAACACTAATTTCTCAGGCCACAGGAAGTATGGAAACCCCACTCAGAAGAGTGACTTCCCTCCAGCTGGTTCCTCTCTAGCCTCCAGACACGTAACACAGTCTGACTGGGACAGTCATGGGCAAATTTCTTTAGAAAGTTTGCCCATTCCTCTTCCTTGGAAACTCCTGGCAGGAAACAGAATCCCTAAGGGTTCCTCTTCCCCCGAGTCCCAAGTGTGGTATTAGGTTTGTCAGCTTAAGACATCAAGAGTTAATCTCTTCCTGAAAATGCAAGAGCT